GCTGTACCAGACAACATTACACCTGTATGTATGGAAAAACAAGAAAACATTATAAGTGCGTTTTGCTAGTGTTCATATTCCAATCAGTCTTAGATAGAAAATAAGTAAAAACATTAAACATAAGAAATACAAATAGGAGCTACTTACCACCTACTCTATTTACCACCTACCTTACAAATGAAATTACAGCAACACGCTTAGCTTGATTTCTGTCATAATCCTATAACACTTAAACTCATTGGTCATTGAACTATGATCTGAATATAATTATGACTACGGGAGTGCACTGCGTGCTAGTATATATACGCTAAAGAAATCTGACATTTAAAGCAGCGTGTGCAAAAACACATTTTTAATTCAGTTATTCCAATGTCATACGTCGTGATAAGTCTGCAAAACACAAGTAAAATAAACCTAACCTAAAAAACCTAAATTGTTAATTTAGCAATATTAGATAGACGACAAAGGTGGCGTGATATAAACATTTAAGTATATAATACGCTACAGCGATGAATCTATATATCCATGGATAAGAGTGTACGAAAATATGGTATGTGTTATGTATTAGTCATTATCTCCCACCTCAGTGTTTGATTTCATATCTCCCAGTGCTTTACTTTATATTTTAACAGTCATAATCATAAGTCATAAACTATTTACAAATTCATAGGCGATTGATTAATATAATCATGGAATTAGTTAGTAATGAGCATGCTTGTTACAAACAGGTGCCTTCATAATACCATACTGCATAACGATGATACTTATTGGAATACCAATCTTTCTCATGGAGATCTCACTAGGTCAGTTTGCTAGTCTTGGACCAGCAAGCATATGGAAGAAAGTCACTCCTCTATTTAAAGGTAACGTATAAGATTACAGTGCGGTATTACTATATTACATTGTTCCGTGGTTTTAGTTACACTGTCGGCTGTCAATTGACTGCAACGGAAAACTAAACATTAAAATGCTACCGTTACGTAGACATGATATTTAACATGAGATAATTAATGAGATATTTAACATGAGATTTAAACAGTGCACTGTACTTCTAGCGTCCAGGCTGCTGCTGTTCGCACGCCTGTTCTTGTAGTCGTTGAGTGTTGACATAAATGTTAATAAACAATGTACAACTCATGCAGAGTGTTGAGAAATACATTTACATTACGTTTTACATTCAGAAATACATTTAGCGTTCGCTGACGAAGGGTCAATCTGTTTCGTGGGCGTCGGGGACGGGCGCACCTTTACAGAGTCTGTATCTAGAACGTTTTATCAACATGCGTAATACAGTGTACGGTATAGACAGAATATGTTGATGAATACACATCGTCAGATAAAAAGCCGCGAGACGTAAGCCTGCCTTGAACCAGTATTAGAGGTTTATGGTGTGGTATATCAACATCAACATGCACCACCCCCTGCATGGTTATCAAGAGTTCAGCCGATAACACAAATGCTACTATAATACTAGTGCTAATATTTGATTAGTCAAGTATATCTTTTTATTGTGTCTATGTCCGAGTACCTATATTATTAACTGTCTACAGCCACAACAGAAATGGTTATCGGTTAAACTAAAACGTCCTCAAAATCAACGACGTACGCTATAACTAGCAGCTACTGTGGGGTATAATATTACTCTCGTTCGTAGATGGGAAAGGCCAGGCACATGTTATATCGTCAGAAGGGCAGTATTTTCGGCATCGATGAGACATAGCAATAGAAAAAACACAACTGACGAATGATTTTCTCAGTATATAGAAAATTTTGATAGGAATTTTGATAGAAATTTTGATAGGAAAGTTGCTCACTTGTCAGATGTTCTATCTTACGTTCAAGCAGATCGAGTATAATAAATTCTTTAACATAATAGAGATTATAAAATACAAAAGAACGACGACTCAGACTTATTCAAAATTTAAATTTAAATCACGAGAACTATATTCAAAATTCTCTAAAAAAAATCGAATTATAAGGCAATCGAATTTACCCCAGCAGGGCATGATATGTTTTCGGTCTTATGTTATAGTAACCAACTGACGCGATGAGTAGATCATGATAATACCGATTCCTTTTGTACGCTCGTGTTTTACTCTGTTGAATTATAACAATTAGGTGACAGAAGATTTTTACTAGAAAGCGTCAATTGATATTCTTTTTAATGTTGTTTATCTATAGGATTAGGAGTAGCGTCCACATTTGTCAACTGGGCGATGTCTCTCTACTACAACGTCATCGTCGCCTATTGCATTCATTACCTATTTGCTTCCATGAAGGCGGAGTTGCCATGGGCCGAATGTGGTAATGAATGGAATACGGACAACTGCTCTACGAACACTACTCAAACAAATGGTAGTGACACAGTGCTTACACCGGCGGAAGAATACTTTTAGTAAGTATAAAGGGAAATACTGATGAGAAAGTTAATCAAACTCTGGGTTCATTTGTTTTATAGAGATATTAAGTAATTAAGTGGATATATACCGAAATACCTATACAAATTGTTTATTATTATGTGACGCGTATTCTTATGAAGCCTTGGAATATACATTTAAATGATAAAAAGCATACAATAGTATTAAAAAGTGTTAAATTTACAAGAAAAATTGTTAGAATTCAGTTTTAATTGTCATACAAATCAGACAGATTTGTGTGTGTGTGTGTGTGTGTGTGTGTGTGTGTGTGTGTGTGTGTGTGTGTGTGTGTGTGTGTGTGTACCGCGAGCGCGGCGGCTAACTGGCACGCGCCGGGTGCGCGCGGGTTACGTGGGACTTTCGCCGAGGGCGGCGGCAGAAGTAGGCGGCCCGGCATGATAAGGTAGCCGGCTCGGAGGGGCGCGGTGCATTAGCCACCATAGGATTTATTACACACGGCATCAGCTGGCAGACCTGCAAGGTCACGCAAGGACAGTGCGCTCTTGTTTAGAACAAATCGCGCAAGAATGTATCACTTTGTCGCGTGATATTTAGAACCCCAGCGTGAAGGACACACGCAAGGGCATTGCTTAGTAACTTAGTAGCTTCGCAATTGTATTATTGCACGTGCGTGCATGTATTTTGGCGTGAAGCCCTGCCATTGGCCGAGAGATATGTCTCTTCAATCCGCGATGCATGAAGCCAGTAACCAACGCGCAATATGTAATTTCGGCGCGAAGGTTATCATTGGTTAATGAGATGTGCATTTGAATCCGCGGGTGGCTACATAAAGAAGACTTTGCCACAATTGGGGCACTAGACAGCACAAAAGAGACTAGGGATTCATCATGTTGTACTAGACGTAACATCATTTTCGTTAGGAGTTACTTGACGCACTAGGCACTAGGCAACAGATAGGGTAGCCAGCTAGGGACACACAAAGAGAGACTAGTTAGATAGAATGCAGGACTTAGGATAAACGTAACGATTTTACCGGGTGAAAGGAGTGGGAGCTAGAGCGGATATAAACTAAGGGCGTGTGACTTTTATTGTATGTCACCTCCGCGAATGCGGACATGTTTTGTTCCGAAATAAAAGGCTCTCTATAAGCCACTAAACGTATTCTCGGCTTGTGTAGTATCTCTGTCGAGCTACATCCACGCACACTCACGCACTCCGCAGACCTGCCGCAGAGCCGGCGATAAACCGCCGGTAGGTAAGAAACACAACGCAACAAGGTACTATACGATCACGAAAACAGTGAGAAGAACATACGCACACGTACACTCAACAACAACACAAAGAAGAGAAGCAAAGGAGAAGAATCGCTACAGTGGCGGCCGCAACCAGGATCTCGGCCAATATTCTGACAGACACCGAAGCGACGTAACGCGACAGTTAGCGCCTCACGTAACGCTACACTATACATGGTCGGATTATGCAAGCGCATCAAGTTTATGCTTGAGTTCTTGCTGAGCTTTCAGACTCATCATCGGCGGTGTGCTGTTGCTCCAATCAGTCGCTGACATGTTGCATGACATGCAGAAGCAGGTTGAATCCAGAGAGACTGCAAGAAGCACACATACACCCCCTCCCCCCACCGTCTAACCCCAGCCATTCTTATCAATTATGATTAATGGCTTGTTTTACGAAGTTGCTGTTCACTGTCTATGACTACATCAGCATTATGCTCGAATGTACATTATCGGTAGATTTAGATACATGAATCTCTAATGATCTCGTTTAATCTCTTTTCTAATTACTGCTTATTACAGGACCTGGACTGGTGTTTGTAGTATATCCCGAGGGAATAGCACAAATGCCAGTTGCGCCGCTATGGTCCATTTGTTTTTTCTTCATGATGATTATACTGGGATTTGGATCACAGGTATAGTTTATTCAGTTAATACTATTCAATATGAAATTAAACTTCTTGTTATATTCTAGTTACACCGATACACCTTGATGCTATAATATGTCACATCCACTGACCAACCGCACTTTACTACGTAGTACTAATTACACACTGATACTTATAGCTACGTAACTAAGCGATTATGTACAATCTATGGTCCTGCAATCGTTCTAGCACATATACTAGCATAGCAGAGATATTTATATTGGGCTATCGGCCGATGATGAATTTTTGTACATGTTCCTTGCAGTTTTCTATCATGGAGACAGTCATGTCGGCAGTGATTGATTCATATCCTCACATTCTTCGTACCAGTACTCTACGGACAGTCGCATTCCGAGCCACGTTTTGTAGCCTATGTTTCCTACTCGGCCTAACGATGGTGACTCGGGTAAGTAAACCTAGTTCAAGCTTAGGTTGAAACTACGATGAAATTGTATATGAACACATAAATCACCATGCAAACAAATATTTGCCATTACTCGAGGTTTCAATTGTAAAGAGCGTAATCTTCCGGACATTCCATAACCTGTAACACATGCGGAGGAAAGTGTTGGGATTTTTCATGTCATGTGTCTGCCTCTCTCGCTGAATAACTACATATATATATATGCGTGTGTGTGCGTGCGTGTGTGTGTGCGGATGCGTGTGCGTGTGTACGTGTGCATGGTGTGTCTGTATGTGTCGTAAAATCTTACTTGAGAACAGGCTAATTCTGTACTAATTTATTTATCTATTTGTGATTTTGAAGCAACAAAATTTTAGATATTTCG